CTCTCCCTCTCCCTCTCCCTCTCCCCCTTTTTCCCTCTCTCTCTCTAATTACAATTTATTTGTTGAAGAAACTAGGTTTTTATCCTGTAGAGTTTTTAACAGCCTGGATTTTGGTGATTAAATCCCCATGGTAACATTTAACGTGTTCCTCTGTTGAATTTCTTTTAACTTGGTAGTTAGAGGCTTAATCTGATTCAGTTTCTCTTTTTCTTTTCTGTCTTCCTTTCTTTTTCTTTCTTTCTTTCTTTTCTTTTTTTAGTAAAAATGCTCTATAGGTAGTGGTATATGTGTCTATCAAGAAGCACAGAAAATCTTTGCTTGTCTCTCTTTTGGATATTCACATCCATTCATGATTATTTCCTAGATTCATTATTTCATAATTTGGAATTGCAAAATAGTTATATTCTAATTCTGTCATTTCTTCTTCATTTAGTAGCTAGAAAGAGAAAATTTTTCTCACCACTCATTTGGTAATCCTGAGATGCAATTTGCCCAAGAAGAGAAGGATAAAGGTTATATTCTTTCTATTTACCAGCTTTCAAATTGAAGGGTGGTTACCTAGCATCCTCCAAATGACCATGAGGTTTATTTGTGGGGTTTTTTTGGAGGGGGAGGTAGAAGGGGAGTACATATCATTTCAAAAATATGGGATTAAACAAATTGGACAACTTCTAATCCCTTGCAGTTATTATTGATATTCAAGTTTCCCCCATCTCTAGTCTCTTCATATTGGCTTCTGTGTCCTTCTAACATGACCTCAGGAGTCCTCAGCAGTTCCTTGATTTCTGGCATGACAAGATATACAGGTTCATCTGTACATTTCCTGTCCCTGATCTGGAATCAGCCATTTCTACAAGAAGCCCTGGTTCCTTTAAGTGGGAAATAACGTATGGAAAACGCATCTCAGTACTTGCTACTGGGTTGGTCATTATTTCTAGGCCTTTTCAGTGGACAGAACTAAGAAATATATGCGTATTTATTTATTTATCATATATTTAGCAGGTAAAATCTATCATGAGTGCATGCTGACATTTCTAACTAAAATTCAGTATGCAAAGTTTGCTTAACTTTTTTATCTTTCATCTCCTTTTTTCCATACTGAAAATCTTGGTTACCAGTGATAATGCACTGTAATTCATTTGCTTTGTCCCCAGTACATACCAAATAGTCTCAGAATTACAGTACCAATACTACAATGAACCATATGATTACTGAAAATAATTTAAGATTTTTGCAATTATTTTTTGGGCCCTTAGGATATATCCAACTACAGATGTACAGTAATTACTGTGTTTTAAAGTCACTTAAAAGAATTCTTTGTGTGATCGTGCCACTATTTCAGTATACAGTTTGAGTCATTTGTTTTATTTTGCTTTCTGTATTTAGTGATTGCCTTCAAAATGTTTTTTTGTTTTATACCTATGTAAGA